TCTGAATTTGATTTATAACTTTTGTAGCGTTGAATTCAGAAAGTAGGAATAAAAAAATCAAAAGCTTTAAAACAATAAACATAAATATTTCGAATGTATATATACACACATCAAGCTATACTTACAAACCACTATAAACTGACCCTTGAAATTGTGAAAAGATCGTACAAAAGCGAGACTATAATAAACGGGTTTTACACATCGCGCCGTGTGTACATAATATATCGCAACACGCCATAATAACAAGAAAGTAATCCATTTTTGTAGTAGGTACCTAATAAATCGAAAGACTACTTTCACTGACAAGAACATGCTCGATACTCACTGCTGAGCATCTACGCTCGACGAATCACGTACGCACTGCGCACCCAAAATCCGTCGACTGGTGAACACGACTTTGCATATTACACACTTCTTTGTAAGAAACTTGTGCTTGCCTGCTTGAGGTCACATAGTGCACTTTATGTTTCTTAATAAGAACTTAAATAAGGAAAACAAAAATGGATTCCTCAAGAAGAAATAACGGTACAACGGCAAAAAGTAATTGTTATTTCCTAACGATGCTTTCCAAACAGAAGTGTTCCAATACGTCCATCTTACTTATATTGTTATTAAGTACTTAATTCTATTGTAATAATAATCCAAAACTGACGGAGGTTTAGACGCCTGCATGCATGGGTGCGGGTCTAAAACCTACCAACAGCAAGTACCAATGTAACTTTTTCCGAGTTATATTTACTTTTTAAGATTATTTAGACACCACTGACAAACGGTGAAACCTGGATTTATAATTTCTTATTATAAGTTTGAAATCACAACCCGCATTGAGCAAGCGTGGTGATGAATACTCAAACCTCTGTATGAGAAGAGGCTTTGCTCAGCCGTGGGCACTTAGGCTGTTGATGAAGATAGATACAGTAGGTATAATAGCTGGATAGTAGACTATTCGGAAATTGCGATAGATCACAATTCCCGAATTCCGTTTGAACGTGACAAAACTTAAGTAGTTACACAAAAACTCCAATCAAATATTCCAGTTGGCCTTATCGAAATATTCTGGTGTAATATTCATAGCACATTTAATATAACTTTATAACTTACTGAGTTATTTTGAAACGAAATTGTAGATACAAGTGCAAAAAATATAATGCTATGTACTCATTAGTGGTTAATATTGGAAACACAATGCTAATGCTAATTACATTGTTATTGTAATAGCTATTACCTATTTGTAATGAAATATCGTTATTGTAATGTTAAAACTGAAATATTTATAGCGATATAAACCATATTCATTTTTGCTTTAACATAACTTCACGCCTTTTATCCCCGGTGGGGTAGGCAAAGGTGCACATTACGGCACTTAATGCCACTGTACAATTTTCACTATTTATGTTATGAGTCCCTTGTAAGTGATGTGAGGGTGAGCCTATTGCCATATACCGGGCACATTTCCAGACTCCGTGCTACTACTGAGATTTTTTAGAAACCCAGTAATACTTTGCCCGACCCGGGAATCGAACCCGAGTCCTCTTGTTGCGCCATTTGCACATTTTTGCTTTACTGTATTTTTTTGTGACTTTTAAAGTGATCAGCGCTATTCAATCCGCTACCGACGCCGCAGCTGACCAACATAGCATTTCATGATAGGGCTCAGTAAAGTATTTTGCGGATTTTCGACTGAGAGGAAATTGATCATAAAAATCTGTCATAGGCCATAAACCGTATACATATAAAGTGAATACGCTAGCCAATCAAGCGAAATATTTTTTTTTACTTGAGCTGTGGCCAGTTAATGGTTCACTCTATTCTGGTTCCGTGGCCATAAGGCCAAACACAAAAAAAAAAAAACAAAAAAAAAATAGTCTATAAAAAGCTTTATTACATTCCTTGAAATCGATTATAATCATTTATTACAAAATATTTCTGACAAGTAAATGAAGAAATATGCGTTGTGTACGGTCACCATCAACAAAGTGACAGTTATAATACAGCACTATTTTCACATCTTTGAACTGATTTAACTCGGTTTGGACTGTGTTTTTGATATAAGACCCCATATATTTTTTTGTTTGTAATGTTATTCTGCATCAGTTCAACTGTCACATCCGATCAACTGCCGCGAAAAAATGAAAAGGCACCACGCTCCATACAAATTTGGTCATTGTCATTTATGAGAAGAATTAAAGGTTTTGACTCAACGCACATTCCACCATGCTGGAAATCTTTAAAGGAAAATTATTGCGAACCATCTTTGTTAATTCGATGTGGTTAAATGCTACTGAGCGGGATTGCATCGAGTTCAGCGCGGAAAATAATGGCTGGCTGCTGTTAGATGGTTTTTTAAAACCAACATGGTTCCTGGGAGATCCAACTCCAGCGCAAGTTGAGAATATGCTGTGTGATTCCACGAACAAGCCTTCCGATAATAACGACGATACCGATATTTCTGAAGAAAGTGATAGCTGCGATGATAGTGTGACTGAGAGCTCCGATGATTCAGATTTTTAAAAAAGAGTCATGGAAGTATAATACAAATATAATACATTTTAAAAATTTATAATTTGCTTAAACTGATGATTGATGAATATGTAAAATAAATGTAATACTTGAATAAAATTTAATCTTTTTTCATACAGTACTTGTACAAAACAATTTTTTTACATAAGTAACCTTGATTTTATTTATCATCAATATTCATTTATTTTGTAATTTTTAGATTTGTCATTGACTTTTTAATTTTTTATTTTAGAAAAGAAAGACGTTTCTTTTGAAGTATTTATTATTTTGAGTCGTACCTAGTGACTAGTGGTGTTACGCGCTAGCTCTCTTTCACTCTACTTTTAATATTTACTATATTTATTAGCCAGCAACCCTTATTGGCGGCCAGATTTAATTAAGCAACCGTATATAATAATATACAGAAAAAAATTTGCTTTAATTTGATATATAAATTATAAATGTACGTTGTGGGTGTATAAATGTAACAAATTCATACCTGTGTATACCTGGCTGCGAAGAGGTGCGGCCAGGTGCGCAACGGCAACCATAATTTTTCAGAGTCTTTATAGATGTTGCCGTAAAGTAGACGACATTTCATTGAAAAAAAAAGTCAATGAAATTTCTTACGGATTATGAATTGTTAATAATTTAATTAAAAATACTAGCGGCCACATTTTGATAGGCAACCTGGTGGATATAAATTCTCCTAATCATGAATATGTGTAAAAATTTGGTTTTCAGCAAACACTCGATGGGTACACTGATTCTGCAGCCGGATCTCGTACTATCTAGTTTAAAATTGCGTCTGGTATATATACTACTTCATATTTAATGATATTTCTAAGGTAACTGACAAGGAGTGGATACTTTGACAATGCACTTTTGGCCCTCTGTCTATGCCTTACGTGGATAAGAAGGTGTGAATTATAAATAAAACGATATAAAACCTTCCTGTTATTTACAGACAACAACTCGTCTTACGCATATCTAAATACAGATGATACAGATTCTATACAATTTACAAATTGATTCTATCCTTGAATTCAATTGTTCAATCAGTGGCCGAGTTGAACGTAAACAAAGACGGAGAGCAGAGTTCGAGACGAAGTGATGTGCGCAACTTTGTTGTGTTGTTTACATATCGATGTTATGCACGTTATTTTATAGTACGCTAGACTTTTTTCCGCATTTATTTTATTTACATAATTATGTAAAATAAAATTGATGAACTCTCTCTGATTCAGAATCAGGACATTTTAGTTTTTATTACTTGTAACATAATTCCATATTTTACCGTTACTATGTAGACATAGTGCACACACACAGCAGTAGCAGCACACACCATTATAATAAAAATGTACAAAAAGTATCGAAAACATTTATTTACATTTGACCGATCCAGAAACGTGTCACGTAACGTGACGTTATAATTTTTGTATACCATTGTCTGCTGTGGAGCAACTGTAAACAAAATTCAAATTAAAGGTCAGTCTTTAGTGATGACCTTTTTTGAGCTCTGTTCCTTGAAATATCGATATCGGCACACCGCTTTCCCTTGAGTGATATCACAAATGGCATCTAAGTGATTGATGAGTTTAAAAATAAAATCAGTAATCAATGAATTTAATTTATATTGAGATATTTGACAATAAATTATTGATACGAAACGTAGTTTTTTTAAAAGTTAATTGCAAACTTGATAATAAAAATGTACAACAGATTTATCTTTGCACTCAAAAACAAATAACAGATAAGTTTATCACCCGAATGTTGACACGAGACAACCCACACAGCCAAACAAAATATCTTACGATGTACATCATTATGTGCACATTGCTAAATTATATGTGTACACAGTATCTATCGTGTGTAAACAAAGCTGACCCACGGATTTCGTTGTTTAGTGATGAGAAGAGTTCATTATTTTGTTAATAAAAATATTTCTTAGAATTCAAGTAATAACTATGGATAAATGACTGTTGCTGGAAAGTACCCATGTAAATTATTTAATATTAGATACAAATGCAATGTCACTTTTATTCATATATGGAGAAAAAGAAAACATAAACAATGAAACAAATGACTCATAAAGTACGATATATATATTGTCTTTATATATATATATATATACTTTATGAGTCATTTGTTTCATTGAAATACAATAATGAAGGTACTCCTATTAATCTTCTTACATCAGAATCTATTTTGAACCAGTAATGCAAAATTAAATATTTTAATCTTACTTGCAAATAAATCATATAACTAATAAACGAATCTCATTTAATTCTCTTTGCACATGTTGCATAACATCTAATCAAATTATACAAACAAGAGGTAAATAAGAACAATAGCTAATTATTAACAAATGTTACAACCTTTGAAATTAATAATTTTAACATTTACCAACTCACATAAATACGACCACTCCATTAATGTTATCGATATTGCGCACATCACTACGCAAACCAGTATCGTATAGACGCCGGTTGTACGATCTCTGAATGCATTATCGACTAGCTCGGCCGTACGACAACACTGTCTGTAGTCAATTAAATTAAAAAAATAACAAATAATATTTTTTATCTACGAAAACAAAATGGCTGTTTGCGTGTGAAGTGAAGTTATCGTTCATTTATTTTTATTTTTTGTTTCTGTTTTGTTATTATTGAGTGAAAGTGTTTTATTTGTATTAAAATGCCTAAACCAACTATTTTGATTCGCCAATCTCTGTGAGTATTTTTTGTTTCACCTTCCGATTTATTTTTATTTATATACCTAATAACAGTTTTATTATTCTTGTTTACTATCCTATCTACCATTTTTTTATTCTATTTTTACCGTAAAATGTAAGAAGTAAAAAATAAAACTGCTTTTAATAATAGCATCGTTACGTTTATATTTATTTGATTATTGGTTCAACAACAATTGTACACGCTTGTTCTAATTGTATGTCACATGTTTATAATAAATAAAATATGTTGATAAAAAGTTGAACAAGAATTGAAATAAGTATTACGACAACGGTACAACAAGAATTTAATGTTCTCTCGTAATTATTATGCATTCTTAAGAATTGCATTATGTTTTATGCAGATTCGGTAAACGACAGTCATAAAGTGTAGTTTTTGATATGTTTGTTTTATAATAGCTTACTTTAATGACAAGAACATTAAAACTAGTTAAGTTACAGTACTTAAATTACTTATTTACTGGTTTAAGTAGACTAAAACTGTAATTACTTAATGTTGATGGTATTCGAGAAAGCTTAAAATTTAGTTTACTGCTTGGCATATTTTATAGTTTTACATCGTAAATTGCATAATTAAAAATATGTAGATAAATTTAGTAGGTACTAAAAGTATCTAATATTTCCAATACTGAGGCCTGTAACTCAGAGGGCTGTACTTATGAACAGCAGTATCCTTAAAAAATGCTAATCTAATTACAACCCTTAGGTCGCCTGCTAAGTGCAGGGATAATTGCACTTGCGAGAAAGAGAACGCAAATCTCGCGAGATTGGGGCGCAATCACGATCTCCCGAGATCGTGATTCGTCTATTTTTAGCGAGATTAATCTCGTACAAAAAATGGGCTGGATCTCATGAGATGGTATTTCTAACGGTTTGTGATCTAACCTCCCAAGATTTGCATTCCCTGATTACAATTGATCACCATATGATATAGGAGATAATATAAAAAAATACTGCCTCGTTGGCCGAGGGGTCGCAAGTGTGACTGTCGGGCAAGGGGTCTCGGGATCGATTCCCAGGTCGAGCAAAGTATTACTGGGTTTTAACAAATTCTCAGTAATAGCACGGAGTCTGGAATTGCGCCCGGTATTTGGCAATTATAATAGGCTCACCCCCCCTATTACATGGGACTTAACTATAACAAAGTTAGTGAAAAGTGGGTGTTACATTGTACAGTGGCATAATGTGCACACCTGTCTCCCCTTCGGGATAAAAGGCGTGATGTTACCTAATAAAAAAATACACAGCCTACGTTTAAAAAAAGAAATAACAATATTTACAATTAAAATCTACAGCAACTGAATTCAGGAACATTTGGTATAAAAATCCGAAAATTTCCAGTAGGTACCTACTTATAAAAACAGCGGATAACTGAGTTTCACGCTTAATGAAAAAAAGTCATTACGATCAATGTACTTTGATTGATCGCATCTTTTAATTATAAGTTAAAATGTTTGCTATCCGTTTGTGTAGGAAATTGTTACATCGTGCCTCAGGAAATGTTTTGTAACAGACCTATTATTCGTGATACACAGATAAATGTGAAATTCTGGAATATTTGCGCATAGGTGATGGTATCGGTAGAATAGATTTTTTAAAGTTACAGAATAAGAATAGAAAGTTACAGGTGAATGTAGCTGCTAGTCTATTCCGTAAGTTTCAATTCCAAAGATCAAAGTGAACTCTAGTCATTGTAAATAATCTCGAGCTCGACCAATGACGGGCAATGCGATCGAGCTCCTTGGAAAGTTCGAATTGTCATCTAACAGAACAGCCTAGCAGCTTCTAAGTTTTCCGCGGCTTTCGAATAAGGTCGATAGGAATAAAACTCGATATTAATATTATACAAATCCAAAATAGCTGGAATATCGTTCATTTTTGACATTAACTGGATGGGATATATAAAAAAAACCGACTTCAAAAAATAAAAATAAACGAAAAGTAAAAACTAAAAAGAAAAAAAATTACTATTATAGGTCATACGTAGATACTTATAGCTTACACACCCACTGATAGGTTAGAAGTCGGTGCCATGCTGTTTTTAATATTTAATGAAAAACATAACAAATGCACTAGTCGCCCCTATAATTTTTAAAAGTTCCCCTCAGTTTCCCTGGTCTTCCATCATCAGATCCTGATTTCCTTATCATAGGACCATTCTAGGACTATCTCCTATCCAACAAAAAAGAATTATCGAAATCGGTTCATAAATAACGGAGATATCGGCGAACAAACATAAAAAAGCATATATACGGTCGAATTGAGAACCTCCTCCTTTTTTTGAAGTCGGTTAAAAATCGAAATCCATTCAGATATTGTGGAAAGGTCGGTTATTAATTTCAGCTACGAAAGACTACACATTTAACTGATTCAAATTTATAAAACTGTTTAATTAATCTGAACGGTCTGAACTGCGATCTCCTGCTTAGCGCGGAGATTATTTAAATACTTAAGATGCTTTTTTCAGTGTTATATGTAGGTATATTTTTTATGGTATAAGCCGGTAAACGAGTGGGTATACGGATCACCTGATGGTAAACAATCGGCACCGCCCACGGACACCCGAAACACCAGAGGTGTTACAAGTGCGTTACCGACCTTTTGGGAAGATTGAGGATTACTGGGGATACGGGGATTGGGGAAATTGGGAAGGGGAGTAATTGGGCCTCTAGTAACCTCACTCACACGACGAAACACAACGCAATATTGTTTCATGTCGGTCTTCTGTGAGGCCGTGGTATCACTCCGGTCGAGCCCGAAGCATAGCTTTTCCACACTTGAATTTAGGAATTCAACCAAGACCTCCTAAAGGGTTTAACATGTTCATTACCAGAGATCATCGCCTTCAAGCCACTGATAACAAAACAATTGAATGTGATCAACTTGATTAAACCTACGACCTATGTCCAGGCTATTATTAGTCGCCCACATACAACACATCCGGCCAGTCTTCGCCTCAATACAAGTCGCCATTTGTCCCGTCTAGTCTGAAGTCCAAAGTCCACTCTGTCCTACTTTATAGGGATTGCGTATATTGTGCGTTGGACTATTGTTTGTTAATATGTCATCTAAGTTTTAAGTAGTATGGAGCATGTCGTATTGTTTTGTGTTTATAAAATAAGTAAGTCAATTCAATGACTTATTTCGGATCCAATTCTTGATTGGACAAAGTACTCAAAACTCAAACTCAAATTTCTTTCTAAATACGTCGAGTATAATGTCAATTACATAAAGGAGTCTAGATCAGGGATTACTATTACTACGATTATTACTACGGGTCGCGACCCATTGGTGGGTCGCAAGCGAATTTTTAGTGGACCTTCTCTATAGATTAACACACTAACCACCCGTTCTTTGTTTTATACTTTTATATTGGTAACAGTTTAATTTCCTTAAAGTGGGCCGTAATTTTGCGAACTTGCTTTAAATAGGTCGTAGTCCAGACAACTTTAGGAACCATTGGTCTAGATTTATAGAAGGTTCAAATTCAATCTTATTATAGTTTTGTGACATGTGATATCTGCATGTTAATCCAATAAATCCATGTCTAAAATTGACATTCTACAGACAAAAACGAAAAATAAATCGAAACAAATATTAAATTTAAATTAAGAATATGTTATGTTATGCAAATGATTATGACATAATAATGGCTTAATGAATAACAATTTGTATTAATAACTAAATGGCCGACTTGATAAATTATTCACACGTCTATCACGCTGCGGATTGTAGTAAATGTAAATACTTATTTTGGTTGTAATCGTTTCTGAAATATGGATACGTGTCTAGATATACCAGACCAGGGATGTTATGGATATAAAATTTCGGATACGGATACGGATATAGAAATGATTATTATACTGGATATTATGGTTACGGATACAGATATGGAATTATTTCGGATTATCCGTCAGTTTCGGTAAAGGATATTAAAATTTTAAGGAATTACATACATACATAACATCACGCCTTTTATCCCCGAAGGGGTAGGGCAGAGGTGCACATTATACCAGTTAATGCCACTGTACAATGTAACACCTACTTTTTCCATGTAATATGAGGTGAACCTATTGTCATATAATGAGTACAATTCCAGACTCCGTGCTGCTAATGAGATTAAAAAAAAATACCTAGTAATACTTTTCCCGACCCGGGAAACGAACCCGAGACCCCTTGCCCGGCAGTCGCACTTGCAACCACTCGGCCAACGAGGCAGTAAAAATACAATTTAAAATAACTTAATACGTATCAGCCTGCAATCTAAATGACTGCACGGTTGGTGCGGTGGCTGGGCAACCGGCTGCCGTGCAACGTGTCGCGGGTTCGATTCCCGCACGAAACAACAATTTGTGTGATCCACAAATTGTTGTTTCGGGTCTGGGTGTCGTGTGTATGTGAACTTGTATGTTTGTAAACGCACCCACGACACAGGGGATAATCCTAGTGTGGGGCAACGTTTTTAAAAAAAATAAAGAAATAAAAGAAAAAAAAATAAAGCCTTTTACACGTAACATATTAAATAATTAAATGTACCGAATACCCATTTAAATTTATTCAAATAAATATGTAAATAAGAATCAACAGACAATTAAATCATGTATTTTATTTATGTGTTCCAATTGCGTATCATTTCCAAAACTCGTTTTGCGTTCCATACAAGTTCTTTCGCACTACAGTTTATAGGTAGGTACCGCACTAACTGCGCAAAATTTATGTGTAGGTGATAAAACATGTTATGTTTATAGAAAAATAGTCTGGTAAACATATCATCATCATAACATCGCGCCTTTTATCCCCGAAGGGGTAGACAGAGGTGCACATTATGCCACTGTACAATGTAACACTCACTTTTCACTATTCATGTTATGAGTCCCATGTAATTGGGGGTGAGCCTATTGTCATATAGCGGGCACAATTCCAGACTCCGCGCTACTACTGAAAATTTTTAAAAACCCAATAATATTTTGCCCGACCCGAGAATCGAACCCGAGACCCCTTGCTCGTCAGTCGCACTTGCTACCACTCGGCCAACGAGGCAGTATACATATCATTTACATAATGTTCAAATATCTTATAAAGTTCTCACATCATTTCGGCAGTTTCTCTATCGATATAAAATTAGAATATCGAACGAACAAATAATAATAGCACCAATCTTTTCCGCATTCATGTTGCATTGTTATACGACACGGCGATATATTTGCTAAATCACTAGTCTAAAATATCATCATACTCACAGTACATTGCTGGTTTAGTTCCAGACTTCCTTATATAGCTATTTTAATTAGAAACATTAACGTTAATGGACTGTAACGATCGAATTGCAGTCGCCATTACTTAATTGCCCTTGAACTTGTACGTGGGTACATTTTGTATCAACTTCGCGTACAAACCCAGCCGCATTCCCTCTAAATTATAACACAAGTCAAAAGAACTTATGTCCTTTTAAATGACGAAGAAAAATCAGATTTAAAGGAAGGGGATAAAGTAGAAAGTCAATTCCGTGCAGTTACGTAAACACGTTCCAGTTAAAGTTACGAAATAAAAACTGGTTTGTCTGATATAAAAGAAAACAGACACTGCAAAATGAAGGAACGATAAAAAAGATATTAAAAGTTCGCATAAAAATTCTTATTAGCGTTCTCCAAAACGTTTATTGCTTTAAATATGTATAACCTCCTTCATACAAACGCTTAATTATCTTAAACATTATTATAAAATACTAGCGACCCGCCCCGGCTTCGCACGGCTGCAATATGCATGATATAAACCTTCCTTAAGAATCACTCTATCTATTAAAAAAAACCGCATCAAAATCCGTTGCGTAGTTTTAAAGATCTAAGCATACATACGGACATACAGCGAAAGCGACTTTGTTTTATACTATGTATTGAAGATGACAAAACTAAATAACCAATTTCAATATATGCTACACAGATAAATTATAACTTTAATAGACGTAGAATAAACTACAAGAGATGTGTATTGTTTAATTGAATCTTATAGAGGTATACAGGTGTAAATGGACGCGAAGGACTAGGCAGACCGAAGCATGGGGTCTCGGTTTCGATTTCCATGTCGGGCAAAGTATTACTAATGGGTTTTTTTTTATCTCAACACTAGCACGGAGTCTGGAATCGTGCTCGGTATATGGCAATAGGCTCACCCCCTATTACATGGGACTCATAACATAAATAGTGAAAAGTGGGTGTTACATTGTACAGTGGCATAATGTGCACCTCTGCCTACCCCTTCGGGGATAAAAGGCGTGATGTTATGTTATTTTTATTACAAAAACAAGAATGTACAGATGCGACCAAGTGCAAAAAACGTTGCATCTATTTTTAGTCCCGATAAAGCCAGTCATTGAAATACACTTCAGTGCAAAATAACTGACCGCACTTTTTGCGTGAAATTATTTTTGCGTTGACCTAATTGGACTTACCCGGTTACTTGTAATTTTAGCCGTTTTACGACTTAAGATTAATTTGTTTTGGTTTAAAATACATATATGTTGACACCGTTATTTTTAAGTCACAGGAGAGATTTTCAACAATATTTGTTGTCTGCTAAAAGTAACATAAGTCTTTATAATGAAAAGGCTAAGCATATTTATCGAGTCGCGGAGAACCTAACGGGTTACCGGGGCTCCTCCGGCTCGACGTGCAGGAGAAGGAACGGGGTGGTTTTTAGTCAGTAAGAGTCTGACACTCCCTCCCGCCTCACCCAGGCGGGAGCAGCCACTCGATAATTTTCCCTCCTTTAAAAAAAAGCATGTTTATCGAGTGTTTTAATTAAATTAAATACAAATAATCAACTTTAGGTAGAATGTAGTCAAATAAAAAGAAGAAAATATAATTATAAATATGAAAATATATTCTAGTTAGTCTCTAACAATGCTCTAATTAACAACATTAAATGTAAATGAGACTGTATAATTATATTTCACAGACACCACAAAAAAAAACAAAATGGAATTTCTATTCCAAATGAAAATTCCTTTTCATAATTAGACCAGTATTGAGGTCATCCTGGTATAATTAAATCTTTAATATAGACACGATGTTTCATTCAGTCAAACTTCGAAAACTAATCTTCAACTGCTAATTATATTATTATGAAACTACATAATTTAGTTTATGATTATGTCTGTAAATGTATATCGCGGAAAAATAATAATAGTTAAAAGACATATCAGTCCATCAGAATGAAAGAAAGTCTTCATTCAGTCAAAGGGTACATTTTATTTCGTTCCACAATTAGCAAGTTTTATTAACTTATGTCTAAAGGTCATATTATTCTTTAACGGCTTCGCTCCAACCCTGCAATTAACTTGTCATTTAAATTTGAACATTATATTTATTTTTTAACATCTACACAAAAAAGCTGTACACTACATTACATAACATCACGCCTTTTATCCCCAAAGCGGTAGGCAGAGGTGCACATTACGGCTCTTAATGCCACTGTCCAATGTAACACCAGTTTTCACTATTTATGTTATGAGTGCCATGTAATAGGTGGTGAGCCTATTGCCAAATACCAGGCACAATACCAGACTACTACAAATATTTTTTGAAAAACCCAATAATACTTGGCGTGATCCGGGAATCGAACCCGAGACCCCTTGCCCGGCAGTCGCACTAGCAACCACTCGGCCAACGAGGCAGTCACTATACTACACTTTAGTATAAAACATATTTGTCTACTCAATTTTTTGCTCGGCACTGTACCACAAGATAAATATGTACGTACATACGTAGCGGTAGGAGTTGTGAGATACCTAATTCAAATTCATCCATAATTATCATGGCAAAACCCCACCCACCTCTTCAACAATGAACATCTTCCAACTAACAATAAAAAACTTTAAACAAAATAAATGCCTAACAGCCTAGTTCTTAACTTTATCTTCAATATCTTGTCACCAGATTCCACCAACCACGACGGCATATCGCCGGCTCTTCATCTCAAAGGACTTCCACATCTCCTCAGCGTCGGAATGTGGCTGCTCCAAGGCTGGCCACGTCTGCTGCTCGACCCTTCAACGAGATCCCAGGACCGATCGCCCTGCCTATGCTGAGACATTCGGCTCATGTATTGCCTAGAATTGGTAAGTTACATTCTTTTTTTATGGGATAGGCCGGCAAATGAGCAGTCGAATTACCTGATGGTAAGTAATCGGCGCCATCCATTGACTCCCGCAACACCAGAGGAGTTACAAATGCTTTGCCAGCGTTTTGCGGTTAGAGGGTGATTTGAGGAATGGGAATTAGCGATTGGGGAGATCGGGATAGGGAGGAATTGGTTCTCTGGTAGTGAGGCTACCATATGGCGATACACAATACAAGCGTTGTTTCACGTCGGTTTTCTGTTAGACTTAGACATTCTTCTCCCAAATACAAATATGTGAACTATAAATAAAACAACATTTCAAAATAATAATCATCATCATCATCACGCCTTTTATCCCCGAAGGGGTAGGCAGAGGTGCACATTATGCCACTGTACAATGTAACACCCACTTATCACTATTTATGTTATGAGTCCCCTGTAATAGGGGGTGAGGTAATTCAAAATAATAACTAGTTACAAATTTATTAATCACCCATATTATACATTCGTAGAATTAGAATCTGGTCGCATTCTAGAACTCAGATAAGCCTTTGACTGGAATGCCCCTATGGTCGTATCTAGTTTACAACGTAAACATTACAGACAATTAAACCAGATAAAATTAAACCAGATAAAATTACCAAATGTAGCCACAATTATATACTCGAAAACCTAAAGAGATAAGACCACTTTATTGCATTCCTTTATTATGCTTTTCGACGAAATCTAAAAACCCGTTTAAAAGCTTTTTCCCTTAAGAGGAAGACACTAGTCATATAACATATATATGACAGACATATATGTTGCTTGCTTTATTAATTTCATATTTCATGCATTAATACAAACGGCATGAAAATCAGTACAGCAATTTTTAAGTTTGCTGCGACAAGCGAGACATATCAAGGACTTACTTCTGTAATAGTTTGACGGGGAATACGAATTTGTACACTGTATTTATTTTATTTATTTTATTTATTTAGAAAACCAACAGCGATACATATGATATAATACAAAATAAAGATATTACAGTTTAGTAAGGCTAATAATAGGTTTCCCTGCTTAACTTAATTTGTATTTACCATGCGAACGGACTTTAAACAATATTTAAAAATAAAGTTTTAATATAGAATTGAAAGTTAAATATACTACTTGTTATGAAAGGGAGATAATAATATTAACCTAATTAAAATATGAATTAACATAGTAAATGCTTTATGGTGAATGGAACAAAGTTGCCCGCTAATTGCCTTTATCAATTATAATATTTTTAACTTGGGCTTTAAAGCTAGGTTTTGTGCAGTTAAACACATCAACCTGAGAGAAGTCTTTGTTGTAGGCTCGCGCAATGCGAGCAAGTACACAATTACTAGCATAGTTAGTGGCATGCCTAGGTACATGCAACATTGGCGTATGGCGAGTGCGTCGTAGAGGAGCATTAAATTTGATTTGTGATAACAAATCCGGACAATCCAGCCTACCATTCAGTATGTCGTAAAGTACACACATGTCCAACACTTCACGTCGTTCATCGAGTGTTAACAACCCATACGTTCGACAGCTATTTTCGTAAGACATTGGAGGTTTGCGGAGGCGGTAGTTAAGGTGATTAATAAATTTTTTTTGAACTCGTTCTATTTGATTTTTATACATATTATATTGAGGGGACCATATTGGGCATGCGTATTCAAGAACGCTACGAACATAAGCAAAATATACAGATTTAAGCGCTTCAATGTTTTTAAATGCCTTGCAGGATCTTAAAACGAATCCTAAATTTTTGTAAGCTTTGCTAGTAATAAGATCTATGTGATTTGAAAATGCCAATTTGCTATCGAACATAACTCCTAAGTCTCGAACTATCTCAACTTTATTAATAGTAATTCCATTAAATTGGTACGAGTACGTTATAGGGTTCCTCTTACGTGTGTAACTGATGCATTGACATTTCTTGACGTTTTCTTGACGACTGTAGGTACATATCAACATACTTAAGATGGAGATTTTGGAGAGTGTGCGAGGGAATTGCAAAACTTGATTCCCTCTAATCCTTTCCATCATCGTACCACAAGACAATCGGCAAAGCGTCACCGATTCATGGTAGATGTCCAACAGTTCGCATCAAGCTTCCTTGTGCGTACCGCTAAGGAGTGGAATTCTTTGCACGAGTCTGTATTTCCTGAAGGGTATTACCTGGGTGTCTTCAAGGCCCGAGTGAATAGGTTGCTTATGGGTTGACGTGCGCCATCGTAGGCCACATCGTCATCGCATACAACCAGGTGAGATATTGGTCAAACGTCAGTCCCATATAATATATAAAAAAGAGGGTGTACTTCGAGTTTGTATTACGTTTAAAATAAACGAAACAAGACCGCATTCGGCGCTCTGATTGGCCGGCTGTAATGAACATTTACGTGTAACGTATACCTACTTATTTATGTACGTGTACGTAATTAACTTTTAACGTGAAACAAACTCGTACTAAGGCCCCAGAGGCCTTAGTACGAGTTTCCATTACGTTTAAAGTAATCGAAATGAAACCTCGTCCGGCGCTCTGATTGGTTGGTTCATTGAAGCCGGCCAATCAGAACGCCGAATGCGTACTCGTTACAATTACTGTAGACTTAAGACAAACTCGTACTAAGGCCTCAGATCAGCTAAGGTTAACATGATCATGACTCAGAAAAGATCAATTACACATTGGTAAAACATACTAAACACTATTAACAATTCCACCTAAGCAATTACTTATCGTCTAATAAAATTCAAACGCAGTCAACAATACAATAATCAACATGGCGCGTGCAATAGAACATAGTATGTAATAATAGTTCAAAGTTCACGACTGTCAACTAGAATTAACTAGTTCAAGTGATAACTGTTCCCCTGTGCCGTTATATAATGACCCGTATCCGTAGCACGGTTGCAGGAACTAATGAAAATAACATACGTACTATAAAGTTTAGGTTTATTTTCTGGAGTATTCTCGTGTGAGCTGAGCACCTATACATTAACCTGTAAATAAATATAATTATGTATTCTACAAACGCTGCGGGCGCGGGCGAAAATCGCGCCGTGTGTCATTAGCCTTATACTACCGGGGCTCCGGCTCGACGTGCAGGAGAAGGAACGGGGTGGTTTTTAGTCAGTAAGAGTCTGACACTCCCTCCCGCCTCACCCAGGCGGGAGAAGTCATTCGATGATTTTCCCCCCTTAAAAAAAAAGTCTTATGCTACGATCTCCAACCTGCAGTTGACTTCATTATTACATAGAATAATTGGCATTGTGTTATGTAATATCATTATAATTACAACACAATTTATATGTATGTATGTGTATAAAGCAAGTAAAATATAGGTACATATATCAATGAATTTTCAAACACCCACATTTTTAGGGTTTCATATATAAAGGGTAAAACCAGACCTATTATTACTTAAATCCCAATCTGTCTATCTGTGTGTCGGTCACGAAATAACTTTAGTTACAAATTATTTTACCAGACATTTGGTTAGCTATCATATCAAAATAGCTATCATATAAGCTATCATATCATATCAAACAAAACTAAACATTATCCTCAAGACAAAATACAATTCTCCAAGAACACCATACCAGTATCCCAAACACGTAACTGGTCCCATAACTTCAAGTTGGCTAAAAATAAAACCAAGTTGCCAACCCGTTTTATGGGAAGCTAAATTCGCATCCTTTTACGGTGAGTCGGCGCATGCGTAGGGAGCCAATGCGCCGGCGCCGACTGGCTTGCGTCCGATGACTAATAATACTGCAATTACTTTTTTATTGGCAGTCTTTTTACTTGTACGAGTATTAACTTTAATTAGTTGGTAATAGTCGCTTCTTCCTGCGTGACCGATCTAGAAGCGAATGCGGAGTGGTGCGAAGCGGCGTGAAAGCAACAAACTGTCGAAGCCTATTGAAGTCTTCTAGGTGACAATACGCCCGTGGGATGCGGTGCGAAATGACGCGAATGCGAATGGTTTAATATTTTAATTCTAAACGAAATTTCAATAATGGCAGTATCGACTGCTAAGTCCTGATTGTATCGAATCAAATGACGTTCGCTTCGGGGTGAATGACTTCTAAATTGTAGGTACAGAGAATCAAGGACCAAGGATACGTACATACTACAGGCGATACAAATATCCAAGATCCAGTACCGAAAGTAGGCATCAAGCATTACACTTATTTATTAAGTGCTTATAATCGATTTTCAAATTTATTGTTTTGTAATTAAGTCCAAAATCTATTGATAAATCAGGTAACTCCTTATGAGGACATCTCGATGTTTAAATATGTAATTTAAAGTTTTAATAAGAACTAGCTGTACTCGCAACTTCTTCTGCGTTTTTCTAAAATAAAAAATTTATATCCTTAGTACATCAGCTAAATAAAAGTCCCGTGAATTTCGGTTCAGCCATTTCAGAGACTAGCCAGTACAAACAGACAGACAGACAAAAATTTTAACATGTGTTAGTTTGGTACATTGTGCATTCATTATGCAAAAAGAAGCGGCTATTCCAATATTACAAACAGATACTCCAATTTTATTTATCTGATTTATTTATTGTATACATATAATCAATGAAACATAGATACATATTTTTTATAATACCTATCGTGGGACATACTAAATTTACTAAAATCGCGGGTTACTCACATGAAAATACTGAGAAAAGCTCTACTAGTTTCGAACCACAGAAGGATTTTTCCTCATGAGCAGCGTGCGCGGTCATGACGTCGCCGCGCGAGTAACCCGCGATTTTAGTAAATATAGATACACTAGCTATTACCCGCGGCTTCGCTCGCGTCACACAAGGATAAAAAGTAGCCTATGTGACATATACCCATACACACAGCGCCTATAGCAATAATTTCGTTTTCCCTCGAGAATACTAATTTTTTCCGGGATGAAAAGTACCCTATTATTTGATCCAGACTTTTAACTTTACGTCTGCAAATTCAAAGCAATCGGTTTAGTAGTTACGGCGTGAAAGCGGAACAAACAAACTCACTTTCCGATTTATAATATTACTAAGGATATTAATGTTTGAGGCTTAGCTCAATAGTGGGAATTTATAGGCTGTTGATGAGATGAGATATATAATTTAAACAAGTAAGACTGAATCAATACATAGTATAAAACAAAGTCGCTTTCGCTGTATGTCCGTATGTATGCTTAGATCTTTAAAACTACGCAACGGATTTTGATGCGGTTTTTTTAATAGATAGAGTGATTCTTAAGGAAGGTTTGTATGTATAATACATGCATATTGCACCCGTGCGAAGCCGGGGCGGGTCGCTAGTTAAATATAAGCTTAAATAAACGTTCTTGTAAATTGTGTCTCCACTTTAAACTTTTCAAGCCTTCACTGCACTCTAGAGAAATTAGTCACATTTAATTTCATTAGCTACGACTAAAACTACGACTAATATTTGTAAACTAGGAATGTTTTAGCCTCTGTTTCTAAAACTTTTCTTGTATACAATTTAGAGTTCCTAGCCACCGAGTATAACAACTTAAGACTTAACACTTTACTAAGTGTGGGAGAGCCATGGCCGGTTCGACCGGAGTGATACCACGGCCTCACAGAAAACCGATGTGAAACAACGCTTGCATTGTGTTTCGTCGTGTGAGTGAGGTTACCGGAGGCCCAATTATCACCCTCTCTAGTCTACCGAATCCTCCACAATCCTCAAATTCCCAAAATAGGCCGGTAACGCACTTGTAACGCCTTGGTGTTTCAGGTGTCCATGAGCGACGCCGATTTACTTACCATCAGGTGATCCGTCTGCTCGTTTACCGACTTATGCTATATTAAAAAAAACTTCAAATTCACGAACGGACGACTTAATTTTTGCCGTTCCTAAAGTGCCTAATCAAGGATTGATATAAATAAATGCTTTGACTTTGATTTTGAACGCTGTTTTTCAATATCATAGTTGTGAGCAATAGTAAAAAAAAAACCTCATAAAAACTTAAATAATCTCCTTGAGTGTCTTCTTGTGTCCACTGCTGAGCAAAGCCTCTTCTCATGCAGAGGTTTGAGCATTAATCACCACGCTTGCTCATTGCAGGTTGGCGATTTCAAACTTATAATTAGAAATTATAAGCCCAGGTTTCCTCCTGTTTTCCTTCACCGTTTGTCAGTGGTGTTTAAATAATCTTAGAAAATACATGTAATTTGGAAAAAGTCACATTGGTACTTTGCCGTTGGTAGGTTTCGAACTTGTACCCTTATGCATGAGAAGCGGATGTCTTAGCTTCCAAGCCACTACGACATTTTTGTAGTTTTAGATATAGTTTTAGATTATTATTACAATAGAATTAAGTAGGTACTTTTAACAATATTAGTAAGAAGGACCTATCGGAACACTTCTGTTTGGAAAGCATCGTTAGGAAATAACAGTTACTTTTTTCTTACCACTTAAAATGATATGGACATATAGACCAAGTCATACATAAAAAAAACCTAACAAAAAATAATCTCATGCTCGTATTTATCCTTTTCTCCCAAAGACTTAACAGCTGTGCGAGTTTCTCGTTTATCTAGATATTCTATATATTGTACTTTACGTGTTTCTTCGGATTTATGTAACTTTATCGAGCCTAAATACCGATAAATTTAAGGTGCCAGACCCAGACGTACTTTCCCTTCTTCCAAATATAGACTTAGGCCTACTTTCATTTCCAGTTCATATCGTTTACGCTGTTCTGTTTCATACTAGAGTTGTTGTTCTAGGTAAATATTTGAAGGTACCAGATTTATTATCAGTACTTAAATATATATAATTTGTAATATATTGAATGTCTCAGTTAAAACAATGAGAATCTATTTGTCTGTTACCAATTAGTTTTGTTGAACACGTAATTAACTGATTTCGCCATGGCTATTTTGTTCTTCCTTAAAGAACCCATTATTATGAGAATTCTTAAGTGTGAGAGACTCATACTTCAGCACGAATGGGCCGGCTGGACCGGAATGATACCACGGCCTCACAACCTCACAGAAAACCGACGTGAAACAACGCTTGCGTTGTTGTTGTCCATGTGAGTAAGGTTACCGGAGGCCCAATTACCCCCTCCCCCTTTCCCCAATCTCCCTAATTGCACCTTATGCAATAACAAACAGAGTGTATTTTCTTCTTTACAGACCTCATGATATAGTAATAACAACTTTATTTAATAGTAACAGAGTGTATTCTCCTTCCACAGGTAGTTACCATCATACTGTTGGACTGGGTTTGCTGGAAGGTCTTCGCGATAAGTATGGGGACCTGGTCCGGCTGGCGAAGGCATCCAGGTCTAGGCCTGTGCTGTACGTCTTCGATCCTGAGATGATGAGAGAGGTAGGTTCTTATATTTTGTAAATTATATAGGTCCTGAAGTAAAATGGTTCTGTCTTGGTAATATAACAATATCTCTATATATCGAGATATATGCAAAGCGAACAGTGCCTAGAAATTTACGTCTAGTGTTTTATGTGCGTATTTGTTTACTAAAAAAAGTATTAGTAGTTTTTACTTTACTAATCCTTATGGCAAGTTTTTTGCCGATGGACGAAAACGAAATAGATTTCACGGTGTACAAATCATTCATTTATTCATTCGTTTTTTATGACTTCATAGAATAAGTTTGTCATAACATAACATCACGCCTTTTTATCCCCGAAGGGATAGGCAGAGGTGCACATTTCGGCACTTAATATAATAATGCTATAAAAAAAAAGTCTGTAAAATTAACCCTTAAACTGTCAAACACCAAGCGGTCACCGGTGACCGCAACCTATTGTTCTATAATTGTGTCTACAAAACCGGTACTCGACGAGTTAAAGTTATCTATCAGCCAAGTGTATTTGAATATAAACATAATACATAATGCCTTAAGTAGATATAAACAAATCATAAATATTAAAACGTAATAAGTAAATATTAGTCATCCAGCACCTAAAAAAAAAATTCAATATCGTAAAATCGCCAAACTCGAAATCGATACATTTTTTATGATATGTATAAGCCGGTAACCGACCAGACGGATCACCAGATCACGCAATCAGCGTCGCCCATGGACACCCGGAACACCAGAGGCGTTACAAGTGCGTTACCTACCTACCTTTTGGGGATTAGGAATTTAAGGATAGTTGTAGATTCACGGATTAAACTGTCAAACACCAAGCGGTCACCGGTGACCGCAACCTATTGTTCTATAATTGTGTCTACAAAACCGGTACTCGACGAGTTAAGGAGATTGGAGAAGGAGGAAGGGTAATTGGCCTTAAAAATACTTCAGAAATTCAGATATTGAACAAGCTATATAAATATTAGTCTTCATTCTACAGCCTCGATGGACTTTGCACCATAGCAAAACAAACAAACATTAACTACGTTATTTCCTGCACCTACTTCTATCAATTTATTATACAGAGTTACCTCATAATATGCGTACAACTCAGTAGCTATGAACATGGTTACTTAATATATGCGTACAACTCAGTAGGTAAAAACATAGAATAGAAGAATAATTATTTATTTGCTCAGAATGTTAATATTTACAATAAGGTCATTACATAATATCACGCTTTTTATCCCCGAAGGAGTACAATAGGGTAGATGACTATTTTTATTTTAATGTCCGTCTGGGACCTAGATTATTCAAAAACTACGTGTCTAAGTTTTTATTTCTTCCGAAAAAAAATAGTTTCGGAGATATATTGATTTCAAATATCGAATGACGTCACTTTTGAGTACGATTTATAGATACTCTAAAATGACGTTAAAAATAGCCATACCAAAAACACTTTTCCTCAGTTATGTCTACATGTGCATAACAAGTTCTGGTATTGACATCGCAAAGTAGATTTCGCAAAAATGTTCAAAGGCCGGCAAAGCACCTGTGACTCCTCTGGTGTTGCGGGTGTCCACGGGCGGCGCTGATCGCTTACCATCAGGTGATTCGTCTGCTCGTTTGCCTCCTATTCCATAAAAAAGGTACCTATATAAACAACAGGTACAAGCATGCCTTAAACACACAACTACGCAGTTTAAAACTACTTATATTGACCACGTGACTACTATTAAATTACGTAACAACATATTAGTATTTGATATCTAGATTTTTAATGCCTTGAGAGTATACGGTGGCCAGCAGGTCATCTTATCCTTTTGTCTTTGTCTATTGCATCTTCTTATTGTATTGACACGTAAAAGCGAAAATCCAATGAACAAATTGGACAATTTTTTTTAAGGGGGGAAATCATCGAATGACTGCTACCGCCTTGGGTGAGGCGGGAGGGAGTGTCAGACTCTTACTGACTAAAAACCACTCCGTTCCTACTTCTGCCCTTCGAGCCGGAGCCCCGGCAACCCTTAAGTCCTCCGCGGCAAATTTGATAGATTAGAGTAGTTTTGTCTACTGGCCCCTACATTCAAAATTTCAGACCTATCTTTTGTCAATATGTAACTTGGATGCCTTCAAGGCCAGAGTGAATAAATTGCTCTTTGGAAGGCGTTCTCTATCATTGGTTGATTCAGTGCTACTGCTATTTAGAATAAAAATAACAGACATATTTAAAAGAGTTCACCCCTATTCGACGCCAATTCTACACTTACCTATATCACAATAGGCACTAATAATCTGGAAGTCGTTGGGGACGCCTATGTTTTTCAGTGAACATTTTGTGGCTAATGATGATGAACCGCTAAAACTAATGATTTTACTCAACCAAGGAGGTAGGTAGTTATCCCTTAGACCCTGCAATTCACTTAAAAACTCCAAGAAAATAGTCATGTCATGTTTGGACCACGTGAAGTTTAGTCCAGTATTTAAATTACGTGTTTAAATAATTATTATTGAGTATAACGATATCGTACTATAAATAAATACAATTGCGTACAACTCGATATTCCAGTTTCATAAACATATTTTAATTTGAGACTACTTTTTATATGTTATGTAAATACAAATTCGTTATATCTTTATCGGTTAGTTTGATGAATTTATTCGTTAATCGAATAAAATGTTCGCTAAAAACCTAATCTAGCATCTGTTTAGTATTCACAGACAACAAAGCACACTGTTGAATGCGATAATTTAAATAAAAATCACGTACTAAATCGCATATGTTATTCTAATATGGTAGTACTTATTGCACTAAATTGATACTTAATCAATTTGATAATAAGTATAGAACTCTTATATTTAATTTAAGTCAAAGCATTTATTTCAACTAATCCTTAATACTTAGATTGCCAGTGAAGGCAAATAAACCCCCGCTAATGTTGCGTTGGTCACCAGTGACCCCCTTGGCGGTAAACGTGTTAATTAGGCATTTTTGAAACATCAAAATGAATTATCCGTCAATATGTATGTCAGTGAAGCTGGGAGCTCGTTGCAAAGTGTAGTTTCGAGGAGGGAGTTTAAGAAGGAGAATTAAAAGAAGACCAAAATTTTTGTCTTTACAAATTCCCTTTTCACTCTCCCTCCACAGATGAACTGCCTAATACATTTTTTTTAAACGTTGCATTTTCTCCTTTGTCGTGGATGCGTTTACAAACATACAAGTTCACATACACAATGAGTATGACACCCAGACCCGAAACAACAATTTGTGGATCACAGAAAGTGTTGTTCCGTGCGGGAATCAAATCCGAGACACGTTGCACGGCAGCCGGTTGCCCAGCCACCGCACCAACCGTGCAGACATTGCAGTTCAAGTCGCAAATAAAAATATAGTTTTATTCTAAAACATCGACCCATAGAGCATTTTGTGCAAAGAACTAAACATGATGCATTAATTGATTCATCTCTTTTAATTTTCCTGTTCATAAAACTTAATTTCACTGCAGTAATAACTACAAGTAAATGTAATAACGATACTTTCTATTAAGTAAACTAAAGTTAGAAAGTTAAAAAAATATCTCGTCTTGTTACAGAAGCATATCCTAGCTAAACTAGTTTCGAGGTCACTTACTGAACGGTACATAGTAATGTATTCACTTTCAAAATTATTCTCGTGACGAGTAAGTGACTGAGACATGTCTATGTGTGAATTTACGATGTACTAAATAGATTTGCGAAACTTATTGTTTGGATTTACCTCCTAAAATGATGTAGAGATATGATTTTAGGAATAATTTGACAACGTCAGATAAAAATTATCAGAATGGTAATAAAATGAGTTTTCTGGTCCAATTATATATACTTAACTTATGTATTAAGACTTCCAATATATTTTGAAATACCAGTAACCTTATAATTACATCTCCTGGCATCATTATCAACAGCCCATAAGTGCCCATTGCTGCGGAAAGCCTCTCCTCACACGGAGAAGGTGTGGGCATTAATCACCACGCTTGCTCAATGTGGGTTGGCGATTTCAAACTTATAATTAGAAATTATAAGTCCAGGCATCCTCACGATGTTTTCCTTCACCGTTTGTCAGTGGTGTTTAAATAATCTTAGAAAGTACATATTATAATTCACTAAAAGTATGATGACCGATCATCTTAGGCTTCTTGGTGTAACTCTGACGCCCACACTCAACTTTGGCTCCTATATAGAGTCAAAAGCGCAACTGGCTGGTAGGAAGTTAGGTATCCTATGGAGGGTGAGACGGTACTTCACGCCGAAACAATTGCTGAGCCTGTACCAAGCACAGGTTCGGTCCTGTATGGAGTACTGCTCTCATCTTTGGGACGGCTCGGCAAAATATCAGCTGGACGCGTTAGAGCACATTGAGAGGCGTGCCAAGAGGCTCATCGACGATGATGCGCTTGTGAAGGCTCGGCTTCAAAGCCTCGAGCACAGGCGTAAGGTTGCAAGCCTTTCGGTTTTTTACCGGATCCATTTCGGTGAGTGTGCAGGGGAATTGCACAACTTGATTCCCCCTAGTCCTTTCCATCATCGTACCACAAGACAATCGGCGAAGCGTCACCGATTCATGGTAGATGTTCCGCCCACACGCACGAAGCGCTTCGCTTCAAGCTTCCTTGTGCGTACTGCTAAAGAATGGAATTCTTTGCCAGAGTCTGTATTTCCTGAAGGGTACAACCTGGGAGTCTTCAAGGCCCGTTATGGGACGACGTGCTACATCGTAGTCCGCATCGTCGCTTACCACCAGGCGAGATAGTGGTCAAACGTCGCCCCATCAAATATAAAAAAGAAGTCATATTGGTACTTGCTGTTGGTTTTGAAGATCGACATAGATTACATTCAATTAACTCGAATTAATTAAAGACTGCTTACATTTCAAGACGGACTGGATCAAACCAATCTTTTGAATCAGCCAATGATACATCCCACACGTTCACCTTTTAAGATTCGCTTCCAAATTGAGCCATCCATTTGTAGG